GGGCATTGCACTAATCTTTGAGTATATTGAAGCATCTTTTCGAGCTTATATAACTCGGGTGATTAAGCCTGTGAGGGTGATTTAAAACTTGATACCCTATGGTCATCTGACTTGGGAGTCATCGGCCTAAAGCTCGCTAAATGGGTTATACAGAAAGCAAATGAGAAAATGCTCAAAAAAAAAAAAAAGATAAAAAAAAAATGAAAATGGAAAAAAAAAAAAAAGGACTACGAAAAAATATTATCCTTCAGGGAAATCAAGGGTATTTGCACAGAAAGGGAGGAAAGAAGGTGGAGATAAAAGAAAAACAAAACAAAATACAAGGAGCTAACATCTCCAATGGAACCGTGGATTTCACTAAAATAAGTGTCATATCTTTTTGCATCCTCTCTCTATTACATGAGATCTCCAAATCCAAAGACCCATTAGAGATGTTCTTCTCTCCATCCTAATTTTGCTTGGCACTTGTGGTTCTTATTGGTGGGATATACTTTTCTATATTTGCTAATTTTTACTTTTTCCAAAATGATTCATCTCAGACCTCAAGACAGTAACATTGACTAGTAAGCAAGCAAGATGGCCACAAATCAATCTTTGGTAAAAGAAGAAACTTTGTAAAAACTGATTCAGTCACCATATCATGAGAGAGAGAGAGAGAGAGAGAGAGAGAGAGAGAGAGAGAGCTTTCACCATAATACTCTTTGCTTATCTAAATCAGATAGCTGGTGAAAACTTGCATCAAAACATGTGAAGTTTAAAGATGAGAAAATCTTAGATGATAATCAGTGACTAGTTCATCAAAGAAAAACCCACAATCCCCCCAAAAAGTTTTCACCAAAATATATATTTTTTGAAGAGGATATTCTTGAAAAAAAAGGCCTGAAACTCATATGGCCCAAGAAAAAACTGACATTGAAGGAAAGTATCATCAAAATATGCTTGATCTGTCCACAAAACATAAACCTCACGAATTCCACTTTTTTGCTTACAGTATCACCATCTCAATTCGTACAACATAGCATTGTTGAATCTATACATGTATGTGTGTATGAAATGTATATAGAAGGTAAGACCAGGATATGAGGTGAGTTGAAAAGGTGTGAGATAGCACAAAACCCATGAAGAAACAAAAAGATCTGAGAATGAAAAGAAAGGAAGACAAAGCCTGAAGCTTTTCTCTAAGGTTCGGAGAATTGCTTCATTTTTTATGATTCCCCACGAAAAGTTTAATTTTGAAGCATTAAAGAGACAAAGGACTGTGTGGAGAGAGAAAGTAATCAAAGGAGAGAGAAACCCTAGATCTTGCACAGGTCATAGAGACTAGAAGTCTGGACTGAAACAATAACAATATAGCTCTACTCAATCATCCTTTTTCAGATCTTCGATCGATGACATTATCCAAATGTTATCGCGTGTCGATCTTTCATTGGAATAATAACAACCAGTACTGAAAAAAGCATCAATCTTGAAGCCATCAAAAAATAAATAAATAAATTCAAGAAAAAAAATACGAAAAAAATAAAAATTAAATCAAATGACGCCAGACGTAGAACGGCAGAAGAACACTGGAAAAACCTAAGCATTGGTCTCCTTTAACAGACAGTGCAGTTTGATTTATGATCTGAAAAATCTTCAAACCAAATTAGAGAGAGAGAAAGAGAGAAACCAAAAAGTACTACGCATACTGCGTGTGTTTGAGAAGTTTTTGTGATAAAGAACTTAATCTGGAAAGGATTTAGGTGCATCCAGAGAAGACCTATATAACTAAACACATAACGTACCAAGAAAAACAAATATAAACACTAACACATTTGTGTAAACACATGATTGGATATTTATGCACACGCAGAGTTACAACGTTAAGTGGAGTCGTGTGTATATAAGTATGTATTTTATAGGTATATATACCCAGCACTGCCGAACTCGTATAGCTTTCCACGGCTGGAGAAGATGATGAGGGCAACCTCGGCATCACAAAGCACAGAAAGCTCATAAGCTTTCTTGAGAAGCCCATTTCTTCTCTTTGAAAATGTCACCTGCCTATTGATCTTGTTCTCTATTCTTTTCAGTTCAACCTTCCCTCTCCCCATTTCTCTCTTTTTCAGGATCGTGTGTGTGTGGAGTGGAAGGGTTTGTGAGATGTATAAACGGGAGAATTGCAGGTGGGGGTGAATTATTAAGTGGGGGCACTTATATTCCTTCTGCAAATTATAAATGTAGAACGCTTGATTTTTATTGTTGCAAGAAAATAGTAATCTTAAATATTTTTATTTTTTCTTCTTCTGTGATTATGTAAGATGAAAACTCCAACTATTCTTTCCTTTCCAGTTCTTCCTTGAAAACTAAAAAGTAAAAACTCTCTTTTTCTTGTAAGAGTGTTTCTTGGGTAAAGACTGGTTTTCACGCGCTATTACATGCCTAAGAAATACAGTACTGTTCATGAGGATTGATGGAACAGAAGAATATAATTTAGTACTTTGAACTTATGCTCATGGTGGGATTAAAATCAGATTTTTTTGTACCATTTAATAAAAGTTAATGAAATGTGTGGTTGAAAAGTTATTAATCCCATAAAATGGGTGGTTAAAATTAATTATTAATTTTGACTTAGATTAAAATCTAGATCCGAATAAAACAGGGCTATATCATATCAAACAAGAAAAAAAGGGTTCAATCTAACAATTTTAAAGCATGTTTGGTTTCGTTAAAAAAATTATAAAAATTTATGTTTAACCATGAATTTAATGAAATTTACAACTTTATCAATTATTCAATCACATATTTTATTATTAAAAAAAATTACTAAAAATTTAATTTTTAGAGGCATAGGCTTAAAGTGGGTAGGCGTGTCCATGTGATCATTATCACCTCCAATTATGGAAGCTTACATTAATTTGGCTAAAAGAAACAAGAATGTTTGATGGCATTAAACTTGACAACTACTCGTGTGTTTTTTTCTTTATATTGAATTTATCATTAATAAATTACACATTTGATGTGTATATCTAAAGTAGATATCAATCTATATACCTTTCAAGACTCGAATTAATATGGTTCAAAGTGTAGTAGCCAATATTTTCTTTTCATTTCTTGCTTTTTTGGGAGTTAAAAGGTTTGGTTAGAAATGTCAAGAAATATAATGATACTATTTGATAGTTCATGAAAGCAATTAAAATCACAAAACGTCCTGTGCTGAGTTTGGTAATAAAACGTCCGCATTTACGGCGTTCATTTGCATGCCCTAAACAGTCAATTTCTTTACAATTTACGGTGTGCACATAACGGATGCCGTAAATAGTATAGGTAATTCATTTTTAACGGCATATATATATCGCATGCCGTAGATGCACGCCGTAAATGAATGTCTTAAAAAACTACTTTTGTTATGGTGAAATTAAATCGTTTCATAAAACTTTTCGAATTTGAGTAAAATGGTCATATCATGGTTCCAATTATAGAGTTCAATACCGCTCTCTATTAATACAATGACATGTTATTACTTCTTTACATGATCTCAACTTGTCTATAATTAAACAAGAAAAGAATGTGAAGTTAGATAATCACTATTTATATTTGTTCTAATTTTATTGATCTTTTGAATAAAGGAATGCTTGGACTTAAAATTTGAGTCTTATGACATAGTATGCAATTTTTTAAATTTTTAATGTATTTCCTTTTTAAGTAGCGCCACCAAACTTGGTAGCATATGCTACCGAACAGGGTACTGCAATCAATTCCACAAGCTCTTTGCCTTTGCCTTCTATGTTAATTCTTGTAGAGAATAAAGAATATGAAGTTAATGCCAATGCTAATGCCAGACACCATATAGGTGTTTTTTTCTTGCGAAATAAATAACCATGAGAGTTTTATGCCTAAAGTGTTCAAAAATAAAGAAGGGGGTTGGGTAGGTAATGTTGTTGCCAGTCTAAAATTCACATCAAATAATTTGAAGATTTTTCTTGAATTGGTTAAAAGAGTTTTCTGTCAAATGAATCACATATATCAGCTCAACACCTCAACCGAAGACCCATTTGATAGAGGTCCATGTTAGATTACATGAGATGTTATATGAAAACGTCGTCATGACGTTAACATCACAGAGGAAGTACTTTCCCTTGATGGAAGCGATGTTCAAACCAACCAATCAAGAGGATGAAATGATGGCCTAGGATACATACCTAAGGTCTAGATATCATGACGATCTCGCCGCATCCGAACTCACCAACCAATCAATTCCTACCAAAGGGCGTGGCATGTAGCTCAAGATTAGAATACCGTTGTTTGACATGACCAAGACAATAAGCTCGAGTCCATCAATCTGTATGAAGGGAAGAAAGGTGAATGAGAAAGGGAGTCCGAATTGAGAGAAAATCTCTTTGTACAATTATCAAAAGTCTAAGCAAAAATTCCAGTAATACAATAATTTCATTATGTTCAAATAAGTTGATCAAAATATATAACGTCATTTTTTGACATCAACGGATAATAATAATAATAATAATAATAATAATAATAATAATAATAATAATGGCATTGTAAGCTTATGTATGTGTTTGGGTTGTGATGCCAAAAAATCCAAACATTTTGGGTTGTGACGATAAACGGGGCTAAGTCAACTGCCGGTATTATATTTGGCAACAATACATAAATCAGGTTTTTAGTAAATACTATTTCAAAATTGAGGATAGAGATTTTAAATTTCAAAAATCAAGTTTTCATTAAAATTTATATATGATTTAATTAATTAATTATATCTTTTATTAATAAATATATAAAAGTCACATATCAATGAAAATTGGTCACAATTCAAAAATTTTATAAGTTACAGTTCATTCATCGATCACAAATTAAAATTTAAAAGTCACAATTTGTTCATCGATCACAAATTACAAAATTTATAAGTCACACAACTTATTTTATGATCACAAATATCAAATTATATGTGACATATTACTTTTATTGGTCACAAATTAATAAATTTGTAGGTCACATAGTATTTATTAGTCACAATTTATTCTTTATTGGTCACACACTAACCAATTTATTGGTCACAATCAATAAATTATTTGTGACTACCACCAACACAACACCACCGTCGTCTCCGCCGCCAAAACCAATACCGCCAACACCACAGAAAATGCACCACCGCCACAACACCATCGTCATCTCCACTGCCAACACCAACACCACATAAAAACGCACCATCATCGCCAATCGTTGCAGCCGCGACATCGTCGTGGTGGCCCGACGATTTGAGGGAGAAGAGAGGCAGTGGTGGTGCCGATGAGGTTTTGATGGTTTCTGTTTCTTTGCCAAAAAATTCAACAAACAGCCCCACACACAATCCAATGAAAACCTACTCATTATAACCCAAAATGTAAGCAACGATGAAAAAAACGATGACTTCGTCGGAGAGAGTGGCGCTGCTTGGTGGTGGTTTGGCAATCATAGAGAAACAGAGGAAGATAGAGAGGAGAGAGAAGAGGGAGTTTGGAATGGAATTGATTAGTGTATGGAATATAAATTGTATATTAAATATTTAAAATGAAATATCTGATTTTTGTATAAATAAACTCCAAACGTGGTTTTTGAATTGAATATTTTAAAAATATAAATTGTATAATTAATATTTACTATTTAAAATGAAATACCTGATTTTGTATAAATAATCTCGAAACCTAGTTTTTGAATTGAAAATTTTAAATACCCGCGTGGATGTAATTTCCTCATTATATTTCCATTTCCTGATAATTTAATGAAAAAGCCCAATTGCCTAACCCAAATATAAGGCCTATCTTGCACTTTATAAGAGCGACTTTAGTCGCCTTGGGTGTGTGAAATCGTTAGCTGCTCTGAACCGTTGATTCCATCTGACATCTACGGTGATGGTTGAGTTGTATAAATTAGAGCCATGTGTTTGCCCTAATTATTTTTTTACTCCGTCTGATTTTCTTTGAATTCTAGAATTCTCTTTGGTTTTTACCCTCGTTTTCATGTTCTCCCTGTTGATCTTCAACTTCTGGTTGTTTTGATCTTTCCAGTTCCTTCGTGGTTCTGAATCTTTGTGATTCAATTTGTGAAAAGAGAGTGTCGATTTCAGATTTGGAACTTCTGGTTCATAGAAATAGTTTCGATTGGTCTTTGAAAGTTTGAGATTGGTTCTTTTGATTTGTATAGAAAGGTACAAATGTGTTTGAGCCCAAAATCGATGATATCTGCTAATTTTCTGTTCTCTTTCTTTTATATTTTGATTGTAAAGTTGAAATACTGTGTATGACTTTTGAGTGATCTCTGATTTCTTGATGTAAAAGTATGACTTTTATTTACGTGGCTTCAGCCGATGATTTTTATAAATCGAGGATAGGATAAATTCCTTCGGATATAATATCATTCTTTCATTTTGTAAATTTATATTTAAGAAAAAAAAATAAATGAAGAGGTCACAGTGTTGATAATTGATGAAATCCCATTAAAGAATTGTAACTCTTGTAGAACAAGGTGCTTAATATATATGTATGATATTTTGGTAATTAAAGATCAAGATACTATTAATCAAGTAATTTACATGAGTCGCAATCGCATATATAACAATTACAGAGCCCTACACAAAGGATAAGAGCACTAAATGGTGTAGTCTCATCTAGTTGGTAACCACTGTGTGAAAGTGGGACCTGAAAAGGTAACAAATCCCCTTGTGTCATTTCACAGGACCAATCAGTGCAAATTTTTTTGTAAATGCAATCACATCCATGTTTTTTAGATGAATACTTAAAAATATTCACCCCATATTTTTTAATAATTGTATTAATTTTTAATCATTATCGCACTTAAGTTTTTAGTATTTTTCGTTGTATTTTTATCCCAGCCGTCCATTCTTAAGCATATTTGTCCCCGATGATAATTTTCATTCGAAATTTCTTTGACGAGTGAGTAAAAAAAAAATTATTTACCCCTCGTTTTAGTAAATAAGCAAATAAAAAATAAACAAAAAATTGTAATTATATATTTGCCTCTCATTTTATGACATATTAGAATTTTTGGAAGAAAAAGATCATTGTGGACAAGATGTGCTGAATATGACCCGTTATTG